TCATCGACATCATAATGCTTACGGCAGAGGGTTTCGCGGCGGCAGAGGCGAGGAACCAGCAACGCTTCTCGACGTTGGAGGATTTGGTTTGTACCCTTGCCACCTAGACCATCGTGGTGGCAGGTCCAAAGCTGGAGGCGATGAACGACTCCGGCGAACGAAGCGGCAGCACTATCGCCAATTGCGGCTCGAGCTCATGAACAAACTCCTGGAGCGGTATCGGAGAAACTGAAGGGTCCTTTGATCGACGAGGACGGCTGGGGCATTAACTCTAAACCGCCACACATGATGGGATTGCCGATGGGAGGCATTAACGGCATGAAGACAGGCGGCAGTAGTGGCAGCAAACCAGGAGGGAAATCTCGCCGTGACGGAAAACACGACCAGTAGAGCACAAGGAGGGTCACCGGAAGGAGTCACTCAGGTGAAGACCTCCCAGAATGCGGTGCAGATCGTTGGGTCGAAAAGTGGAGTGTTGGGTGCGATTCAATCAGGTTGGGTTGGGACGATGGGTGGCAGAGCCGGACTGGTCGGGCCGACTGGGTGGGCTTGGCCCGAGTACCTAAGGCCGCCGAGTGCCATCACGGGCTGGAGCCTAGAAGCGGGAACAATGTCGTTCGATGTTGGGATGATTGGAGGTGGGCCGATACAGATGATGGTTGGGCCGGGACCGAGGACGAACCTCTATTTTCGACATTAGTCGTGCGGAGTAACGGGCCCAATGGGTAACTGGGCCGGGGAGGGTAGAGTCGGAGTTCACACAGGACGCGGGAGTGGGCCAGTCATCAGCGGGCCTGGAGCAGAGTTGGGACGCGGAGTCGGGCTAAGAATTAATGGCCCGACAGGTAGCGGAGGGAGCAGGGTTCTACAACCGGGCTCATGTTGACTGAATGGGCCATGGGGAGTAGCAGTGGGCCTGGGGGAGGACAAAGTTGGTTCGGGTTTTGGATCGAACCGATCGACGAATTCACAATTTGACAAAGGAGGTCGTGGGTCGAGCTATGGATTGGAGGAGAAGACTGGGTGGTTCAAGTCTAAACTAGCTCAACTGGATTTCCTGAAGTATAATGGAAGCGATGATCTATCTGGGTGGTTCGAAAGAGTGGAACAATTTTTCAATTCTAGGAAACACCATAAGAACACAAGGTACCCCTTGCGTCCTATAATTTGGAGGGAGATGCAAATCAATGGTGGCAGTGGATGGACCGTACTTACACCGCATCGAGATTGTCGATCACTTGGGCATGATTTAGGGAGGAGCTATGGGCTCATTTTGGGCCAGCGGAGGGCGTGTCTAGCCATGAGGCTCTCTCCAAAATTAAGCAAATCGGATCACTAGGTGATTATTTATTGCAATCGATGTTTTGGGTGGACTGAAGAAGCTCTTGTAGGATCATTTATTGGTGGGCTAAAATCAGAGATATCAGATGCTATTCAAATGTTTCAACCTGAAACTATGTGAGAAGCCATCCGCTTCACCAAGTTGAGAAACGAGGATCTCGCCAAGCATCATCCGACGGCTCGGATTACTTCAAGGGAAATTATAGAGGCCGGTCCATAATCGACGGTGTCATCATCATCGCCTGCTCCACCTCGCCAACCCGCAGCACGCCGAATGTCGCCAAAAGAGGTAGCTCGACCCCAAACGCATGGATTGTGCTTCTATTATGATGAGCGCTACACCATTGGTCATCGTTGCGCCAAGAACAACGTGTTTCTCATGATTGGCGTGTGCGATGAAGAGGAGGAGGGTCAGTTCATCGAGGGGGAAGGCCAACCTTGAGGACAAGGTTGTGCTCAAGGATGGAGTAATGTTACAAGGTCGGACCATCGTATTCGTAGAAGATTGAGCTTGCGTATCTTTAGCATTTTTATTAATTAGTTCATATTTGGATATTATTTTGGAATTTTTTGTATTAATTATTTTTGTTTACTTGTTTACGTTGGATTTGGATTTTCTAGTACGTATTTGTTTAGGAATTAGTATTTGTTTCCTTGTAGGTAAGTTTCATATTTTGAAGGGGAAGAGAGGGTCGGCGACCTAGTAGGAAAGCATAGGGGTTTGTCAGGATTTCCTAACCTATATATACGTACGTGTTCTTTTGTTTAATGTTAAGAAAATTGGAACCCAAATATTTGGCTTTCTTTCTTTCAATCGCTATTTTCTTTGTAATTTCCTTTGAGAGTTCTTTGTGTTTTATCCTTTTTACGAAAACTCCTAAAAATGTCATCCCCCACGTCACATCATCGTAACATACTCTCTATGATTAACACAACCGCTGAAAAACTCACTCTTTAGTAGGGATTTCATCATCCACCGCCTCTCTTTCCATACCTAATAGAAACATGAGTTTTCAATGCTAAGAGATAGGGATTAGAGGATCTGAGAGATTTATAGCAGTGAATTGACCATACCCCAAACCGACACAGGTGAACAAGTAGAGTATACTAGGGTGCTTGAGAGAACCATGTCGAAGGAACTCATCAAAATGACCCCGTAACTTCGGGAGAAGAGGTGCTCTCCTATCTTTTGATTAGGAATCTGCTAAGTGGTAACACGATGTATAGAGTCTGACACCTGCCCGATGCTGGAAGGTCGGAAGGAGAAGTGTTATAAGAAGAAAAGAGGTGTTGGATCACCAAACACGACGTTCTCTCGCACGAAATAGTAATCAATGGATATATGCTTGGTTCTGGAGTGCATGAGAGGGTTGTGAGCTAAGTACAATGCCCCAATGTTGTCATAGTGAGCTGTGGTTGGCGACTTCAAATAAACAGAACTACCACAAAAAAAGGAGAAGCACTATTTTCATTTTATCTTTTCGAGAATCTAGAAAAGCCTCGCAAGTACAACTTGTCTTGGTTTGGAATCGTCCTCTTGGTCTTTCTTCTCTTATTGAATTTCGTGTGTCGATCTAGAAAACCTTCCCTCCTCTTCTTCTTTCTTTTGCCTTGAGAGATAGAATCAAAGATTTTGATAGGAAGAACAAAATTGAAATTAGGGATTGAAAGAGGAAATTGGGGATCATGAATAGAGGAATGGTTGACGACCTTTAGAAAAGAGGAGAGACGAAATTGAGAGATTAGGATTATATCGAAAGATTCTTTTCTATTATTAATCTTCTTCATAATATTAAAGGAATGCCAAAGTATATATGGACTAGCGTACGTCAGTCGTACATTGTACGCCTGTCGATTTTTACTATTTAAAGCACGAATTAACCGGATTTGGGACATGATACTATACCCTAACCTCTAATGGGTGAACTCCAGTCCCTAAGTCTCTAACCCAAGTCACAAGATTCATTTAATCTAAAAAAATAATAACCTATAGTTCTAATTCAACGAAATATATTAAATTTCAAAAATCAAGTGTGAACACAGCTGTACAGCGTACGCCTGACCGAAAAGGTCGACCCATTCCTCTAATCAATATTGTGTTCGGTTATCTATTTCGGTTATATTCCTCTGACGGAAATATATAACCAAAATCATAATACTAAAGCTAAACCTAGCGAATAGCTTTATAAACAAGTAATTAAATCCTACTAATATGAAATCCCCATAATTATGCATATTTATAATAATAATAATAATAATAATAATAATAATGGTTTTCTATCACTACCAGATTTCAAATTTTCTTTAAATTAGTTTAGACTCGCCTAGGAATATTTAAATTTTTTATAAATTCTATCAAATGATATTTTTATGGTGAATTGTGACTTCGTACCAATCACATGTATTAAGTAGAGTGAGAATTTCATATAACTCGATCCTGATTGATGAATAGGTTTCATATCCATAATAATCAACCCATTCTTAAATTTCTTTTTGCTGACTTAGGTTATGAACTTATTCAAGATTATTGATGGTTCGAGAACGTGCAATAATCTTTGGTAGAAATTGTAATCCCCCCCCCCCCCCCCCCCAAAGCGCGACAACGGAAACTATCAGTGGCTTCAAGTCGTCGATGTTGGTCACCTGAAAACTTTGGATATCCATGAACAAATCGACATGAAAAGGGAAGTTAGGGCTCGATATGGGAAATTTGTATTTAGTCATCAACAACCTCGCTCAAATGCTAAATCCAATAGAGTTGAAGGAAGCTGAACTTAAACTGATCGTTGATTCGAGGGTAAAGAAAGCAAACCCAATTCAAGATTATAACAATAGAAAGTGAGGAAGCAAAGAGAAAGCATCAATGTAAGGGTTAAAAAGGGAAAGATGTTAGGGAACCTTTAAGTCAGCTATGCTGAGCCTTTCAAAAGGACTATGTGTAAGGTTGTAGCAATCCAAAGACACAATGAAAAATGTTGCAACATCACCATGCATGTGAACAAGTTATGAATCATAGTTTTAGAAATTTTCTAACATCTTCTAGTCTCCTTATAAATATCTCATCTGACTCTCTGGTATGAGGAACACTCCAATTACTTTTTAGAAGTTGGTTGAATATCGATCCCTTCTAGTAAAAAACAAGACCCGATCCTCCAAAGGTTCACGCCATGATGTACGAACTCACTCAACATCTTGAGTAAAAGTTTCAATCTCTCCAGGTACATGGCATCCTGACACCAACTCTAAACTTAAGTAGCAAGAAAGAAAGCATAGGTGCTTTTTGAGAGACTCTCGTTTTTTTATATTAGAAAAATCGTCTGGGAGAGCTAGAAGCATACTAGTGATAGCAGTCACAATGTCTTTTTATAGACCCTTGGTCGCCCCCTCTCTTCCTAGTATCCTTCTAGGATTTGGTTTCTTTCTTCTCAATCCACAAGGAATCGATCGACTCATTCCTCTGATCATTATTGTGGTCAAATTCTCCTTTCCTACTAAAGATAGAAATTGTTTCGGGATGAAGGCATGAGAGTCTCATACGAAAGAGTGGCAGTGGGCTGACCCTAAAAGTTGTAACCGATGACGTTCTACTTACTATACACATAAAAACTTTGCTCACTGACTTGATTGTCGGAAAGCAAATCCAAACTCCCATGTCTTATTTTTGCTCTGATTAGTAGATCCAGCGACTGAAAATCTGATTCACTCTTTCCTGCTGGTTCTTCTTAGTTGTGGCACCAAAAAAATTGAAGCAAAAGTTCTCACCACGAGTACTTTTAGTTAAAGGAAGTTGGAATCCTTCCATAACTGATAATTCGATTTAACAAATATTTTACTGTGGTAAAGAAAACCCTGAAATTACTTTCATCCCAAAATATCACATGGCCGTAATAATATGAAATGTCTCCATCCCCATGAAAGAAAGACAAAAAGAGGATAAACGTAAAAAGCTTATGCTGAAGCAGTGAAGCTTTCCCCCTTTTTGCTGTAAAAAAAAAGAGCTATATATGCATGCTTTGCAATATATATATTTTCCTCCATACGACGTAGTCCACCGGCCAACAAATAAATACAGTCCACCCAAACTAATAAAAATAAAGATAAATTCAATCCAAACAGCTCCACCACCCATTTGTCGAACAATTAATCGTGTTCACACCTGTTGAAACCCGGCGCTGTATCTCACTCCCGTCGACGGCAGCCACAAATTCCCCTCAATAAACTGGGCCACCGTGAAATTACTAGCCTCGGACGAGGTATTCAACAGGTGAAACCCGGGCCACCTCACCCTCCGGCCCACCGCCGCCCCAGGCCCATAATTCATATACTCCCCGTAGTACAGCGTGTCCAGATACATGGGCCCGTTCCACTCCAGCCACCCTTCGGGCCGCACCGCGGCGCTTATATACGACTGCATCACCACCGTGGTGGAGAAATTCTTCCACGGCCGGCCCAGGTACGTGTAGCTGGAATTGGCGAACGGCAGCAGGTCGGCGTCGGCGCCGATGCTGCAGAACTGGATGGAGTAGCCCGTTGCCTGGTTGGGATCTTTTTTCCCGTGCGCGGTGATGGTGTTCTTCTGGTTGTCGAGCCCTTTCCGGGCGAGGATGGAGCAGTTCTGGAAGACGGCGGCGGCGTTGCCGAAGATGAAGTCGACGGTGCCGCGGATGACGCAGTCGCGGTAGAACTGGCGCATGGTGTGGGTGTAGAGCGAGTCCTGGTAGCCGCGGACCTCGACCCGGTAGTAGACCGACAGGTCCGAGTCGGACCGGAAGGCGACGGCTTGGTGCTTTGCGGGGCCCGCGCTGTTTTCGAACGTCATGTCTCGTGCGATGAACCCCCGCCCGCTTACGGCTAAATAAACACACACAATAAAGTCAACAAGTCAAATCGCTTTGGAAAAAGTAAAAGATCCAAACGAAGGAAGAAAAAAGAGAATACACTTCCGGTACTGAATGGTGTAAAAATCTTTTTCGAATTTGGTACTGCCTGATAGTGATTGATCACGACGAATCAATTATTGAGTGATGCTCGATTAACATGGTTAATTTGGTATTGAGAAATAATTAGCGACTGGCTAATTGGGTAATATGCCCAACATGGTCTCTTTCATACCATTAAAGCTGGATTTATTATTTCAATGGAATTATCATACTCTAATTTTCCATTGAAAATATCTATGTTTTTATAAAAATTAGTGATTTATGATTCAGCGATCAACCATTAGTAAAACGTTGATAGAACTATTCATATGCTATAACATAAAAAAATAAATATATAATACTCTAATTTATAATTAAATTTATTAATAATCATAAACGGTTTCGAATATATATCATCCATAATAAAAAAATCTAACAAATCATTCAAATTATCTTACAAAAGATATAGTTTTATTTATTAAATTCAAAATTGTTATTGCGATGACGATTCTTACGGGAGCATATAATATTGACAAAGAGGCTTAGAAACAAAGGGGAAAAAAAGTATAAATAAAATTAGTAATTCAAGTTGGATCATAAATAATCTTAGTTTAAGTTTAAGTAATTTTTGTAATTTTTTTGAATTAATTAAATTATAATTGGTGATCTAGTTTCATGTTAAACCGCAAAACCCTATTGGGTTTCATGTAAAACTTCATTGTGAATTCCGCGGTAAATAAAAAAAAAAAAAAAACTTGGAGGGAACAGGTAGAGGAGGGTGAGTTTTGAAGTTTTACCGAAAGTAGCGGAACGGAAAGTGGTCCAGCCGTCGATGAAATTCCGGTTGCCGGTGATGATCGTGCGGTTGATACCATCCCCCACCATCATGATGTTCCACCTCTTCTTCTTGATCTCCACATACTCATTGTAAACCCCACCTTTCACGTAGATGACGAATCGCTTCATGCTATACTCCGGTGCGGCCGCCACCGCATCCATGATGGCCGTGAAATTCCCGCTCCCGTCCTTCGCCACCACCACGTCCGGCGTCACGCCGTTGATCGCCGCCAGCAGCTTCCGGTCCTCGTGCTGAACCCACGCCGGGAATCCGCCGTCGCCGGAGGAGGGTGTCTTGCCGCCGTCGATGTTGGGCAAGAGCTCCTGAATCGAGGAAGTGATCTGGGAAATCCCCCCTGCCACGAGGGATTTGAGAAGGGTGTTTGTTCCTTCGAATCCTTCGATGCAGGTGTCGGGATTGACCATTGCCGCGCTCAGCCACGTCTTTAGGTCGTAGCTCAGGTCCCCCGTGCTGTTGTTTTTACCTGTTGTAAGGAAGAAAAAGAAGAAAACAGAGATCTGTGAGAGCAGAACAGAACAGAGCATGTGCGAAAGCAGAGGATAAATAGTTAAAAAGCAGAGTCTTTTTTTCCCCCTCCTTTTTCTAGGACACTCTGTTTCGAAATCTGTTATCCTGTAGCATGGGGTCTGTCTAGGAAAGAGTAGATCACAATAATGGAGGTGGGGATTTAAGTGGTAATAGTAGCAGCATTCATCCAACTGAAGAGATTCTTGTTTTTATGTAGCGGATCAATAATTGAAGCAATCTAGCTATGAATGGGAAAAGGTAATTAAATGATGATGATGATGTTTAGTTCGGGTAGGGTTGCCTTTGGGGTTCTGGGAAGCGGAGATGGACCAGGAGAGGGCGTCGGCCGTGAAATCGAGGAGGTCGAGGCAGTCGGAGATGGCATTGGAGAGGCGGTGGCCGCCGAGGAAGCCGCCGAAGTTGGAGATGATGGAGGTGACGTCCTTGATGATGTCGAGGGTGGACTGGAGGGTGCCGAGGAACTGGGAGATGGGGACTTTCAGGCATTCCGTCTGGTAGAACTGGCGGCTCGGTGATCTGGAGTACGTGGCGGCAGGGGAATGGGCCGTGGAAAGAGCGCAAGGAAGGAGGAGAAGAAGAAGAAGAAGAAGCAAGGTTGGATTCGGCATAGCGGCAGCTGAGTTTGGTTGGGGGAATGAAGGGTGATCTGATCTGCTATGGCGAAAGGAAGGAAATGTGTAGATATAGAGAAGAGGGAGTGGAGGGGCAGGTGAAGGAATTAAAGAGAGGAGGAAGGGAAGCACAAAGGCAGGAGTCAATGGAGGAGCCCAGCTCTCCTTCTTGCTCTGTCATTTATTTATGCAGACAACAAGGGCGGGTGGGGTTAATGGTTGGTTGGTTGGTTAGGGCGGCGGATCGGAGTCGGGTTCAGTGGTCCTGCTGCGGGTTACTGTGCCTGCTTCGCTGCTGCTTCAGATGATGAGTTTTACACTTTTTAATACTGGAGTTAGTCTGTGTCACTGTGTGAGAATCTGGGGGTTTTTCTTCTTTAAGGCTACACCAATAGGTTGAAAATGAAATGTAGTTTTTTATTTGTTTGACCTGGTCTGATTAGTTTTACTGGTGTTTTGAAAAACAGGAGTGGAGACTGGAGACTTAAAGCACCGACAGGATAGGGATAGAGGGAAGAAGAAGAATAGAGTGTTCGGTGCTGGTTGAATCAAAATCAAATCTCTCCTGTGTTTCTGAACCAAGGTTGTGGACCAGGGAGTTTGACCCGGGCTGACTTGGGTTCGATGAGGAAAACAGGCGCCCCACACACACACGCGCAGGTCGACTCGCAGCAGGGTTTTCGGGTTAAAGGTCACACATCGTCGTTTTTCCCCCTCTCTCTGGGTTTTTTTTCCGGGTTTTTTTTATTCTTTTGCATGATCCTATTTTTGGAATTCTTGAGTTAACATTTGAATATTGATGTTGCATGAGTATGTTTGAATTTTTACTATATTTTGGTGTGAATGTTATATGTTATAACCCATATGTTATGATGAGATTTGATATAATTCATAAATGTAGTGGGCAATGTAGTGACTTTTTTCAAGGATTGAAAAGATGTGACGTACCGTCGATTTCTAGCAGAAAAATCTCCTACCGAAAGAGAAACCTTTTAGGCGGTATTTAACAGTATGAAACGGTTGAATTACGGTTAAACCATGGTTTCAACATAAAAATAAAATAACCTACAACTTACTGTTTTCGATACAACCTCCGATACAATTTTTCAATCCTTATCGAAATAAAATGATCGGACCATTAATGTTGAACTCACCTATTCGACCGGGATGGCTAAACCGGTTAGCAACCTTGTTTAGAACCGGGGGGGGGGGGGCCAATTCTATACAAATCACAAAAATAAAAGGATGGGCATTTTGGGGGGTTATTACAATTTGTAAACCCAAAGGCTTGGATAAATTTGTAATTCATCCTTGTATGGAAATCTAATAGTATAGAAACAACATAAAACTAAATTATAACCAACCAGTTTCCAACGAGACTAGAGAGTAGAGAGCAATACTATTTCCCCCTTCCCACCGACCTAATTTAATTTATCTCTGACTAGTAAAATAAAATCTCAAAGAATCTACATCACGAAATGAAGTTGAGTTCTGAACCACCCATTCCTCTAATTACTCTCAAGTCTCACTCCTACTATGCAAGTTGAGTTCAGATTAAATTTTTAATGTCTTTAATTTAAGATTACAGCTCAATCAATAAAAATGGAAGGGCATGTTAGCCGTATTGATCTTTATTGTTAGGACCTTTTTGATGCTGGTTGTCCTGCATGTGTTTCACTTTCATTGGTTAGATCTGTATTTCAGGCCTTTTAGCTTATTGCTTCTTATTCGCTATGAGTTTCGATACGTAGCTTTTATCTGGTCCTTGTTCCTTCTTTTCTTCAAGGAGTAGTCTACGGACTAATAACTCCTCCTTCGAAAGATCTCGTCATCTACGGACTACGCGGATATGTATGGTACCAAACTACCAAAAATGGAAGGTTTGCTGCTGAATTTGGGTCCGTGCTAACAGACCAGACTGACGTGAACTTAAGTAGTTTGGTTCGTGCATTTGAAAAATGAGGATTTTGATAAAATTTGGATTTTGGAAAATCATGATATATGATGGATTTGAACAAGTCTATTATTTGTTTGATGGATTTGATTATGGACTTTGTCTAATTAGATTTGTGAATATTAAATACAAATTACCTTGTTACCCTTATTTAATTATATTTCTATATTATAATCCAAATCTTTCATTTATAGACCGTTTGGTACCAAATGAATCTAGAATTCATTTCATTGTAAAATGAATTACCGTGTAGAATTCATTGTCAAATGAAATCCTATGTTTGGTATGTTATATTCAAATCATTAAAGTGTCGTGTAGAATTCATTGTCAAATGAATTTCTGTGTTTGGTATATCATATGTATAAGTAATTTAGTTAATAAAAGAGGATAATCATGTCACTCTATTATAATTAGTAAATACTTGTGGAATTCATTTGGAAATTCTATCTCAATTCCTCGGAATTGCTATAACTAGTTCCAATTCCGTAGAATTCAAAATCTGGAATTGAAAATGAATTCTTTTTAATATCAAACACAAAAATATTTCATTTCAAAATGAATTCCTCAAAACTTATGAAATTCATTTATACCAAATGGTATGTTAAAACTAATCCAAAACATAAAAAGAAATTTTAAACTCTTTACCACTATGTGGACTAATAATTCAACTACAAATATAGAAATGTATTACAATTTGGCACTAATTAACAATTTATCTAATAATATACGCAATATTATGTATCAATTGTAACCAATTGCTCGCTTTATTGCTGCAACTCATCTTCTTCTTGCTAACTCACTGATTTGGAATTCGACAGTCAATCAAATAATAATGCACAAGATGAGCATAAAGTGTTTCTATGTGAATCTAACAAATAACATATACATTCATATTTAAATAAAATACGATATTACAAAACGCAATGATAAATTCTCATATTTATAAAATATGAAATTAAAAAAGTTTACAATGGCATGACCATTGAATTAAAGTAGGACAAATTTGTAATTACAAAAATAATTAAGGGTAGAAAGGTAATTTACCATCATGGATTTTAATCCATCACCCAAATTTTCGAATTCCACAATAAAAAACTCCCCTTTACTTAATAGTCAGCCATAAAATCACAATGAATTAAAACAAAAATCCAGGCTATCTCCTAGGAGTACTTTTGTTTAACATCCTTAAGTAAGACCAGCAAATGAGCTGTCTCCCATGGAGTGCTCTTTCTTTTACATCTCTAAGCTAGGTGAAGAATTTGGATTAGTTGAAGCGCCAACCATCGCTCCACTCATCGTCTTCCTTATATGGTCTCTTCTCTCTTGAAGAATTTGTGTAGATGGGTGAAGAATCCATCTTGCACTAGAGCTTCAACTGCTAGGGGAATTCTATTGGTGTGATATTGAGGATCCCTCTATCCTACTAGGAATTCTTTATTAAGAGCATCCTGAAGAAAGCTTCATAAGGTCTTGCTCGATCAGATTCTGTAGGTGGTTCTGCCCTCATAATAGTTGCAGGGTTATCTTCATCATCAGATGAGTTTCCTATTAAGTCATTATTTGAATCATGTCGAAGAATAACCATCCATCAACGATGGGACATGTCATGTGAATAAAGTGCTCTATGCTTCCCACCTTAAAGGTGATTTTTCGTGATGAGATGTCAATCAATTCCATCGAGGAAGCAAGGAAGGTGTGACCTAGAATGGCAAAGCATGTATGATGATGAGGCATGTTGACTACAATGACTTTGCAGTCAAAAACCATGGGTCTATGGTGACCTCTACATCGTTTAGTAAACCATTGGCATAGAAGATAGAGCCATCGACTAGTTGAATGCTAATTGGATTAATACATACGAACAAGATTGGGAATTTCGTAAATTGACTTTACATGTGCAGTCGAAGGAAGATCTGTTGGAGTGAGCTTGGGGGAGGCCCTATCAGGTGGTGCTTCCTTATGTATCAAATCTTTCATGGTTTGCACATGATCCGACATTCCCATTATTTTTTCCAAGATGAATAGTGATATTTCTTCTCCCCCAGGATCGAAATAAAATCAGTAATGGTACTTGAGGGATCATGTTCTTCTTTATTATGCAACTTGTATGGAATGGCGGGGCCATCGCCGATTTTGGGTGAGTTTCCCAACTGACAGAGCCGTTTCTTTTATGCTCAATTGATGGAGTTTCGTTCTCATCCATTAAGACCTTAAGCTCTTCCTCTCTTATAGTGAATGTTGAAGCATGAATCAAGCGTATAGGGGGTGTGTACTTATAGAGATACCCCTTTTCTCTACAAGGAGTCAGGATTTTGCCTCTCTTTTCCTTTCTCCTCAAGGGATAGGTTCTACTATCCTCTGCAACACAGTGAAGGTGATTACTTGTGGGAATTAAGAGGTTTCTCTGGGGGTTTAAACCGACTTGAACTTGGGTTGTTTCAACCCCTAAATTTCGGCAGCGTATTACCTAAAACGTCACCTCAGACAACTTAAATAGGCATCTTTTTTTTTTATTTACGCCCCTTGAACGATCCTTCATATGAAGGCTCTTTTTCATGTGGTGACCCCAAATAGAGTTTGGAAGGTCAATGCAAGCAAAATAAGAGCATTACGTAGGAACGTGGTCCATTGGGGTATCTATTTTCTCTTCTGCTTCCCATTTCCTAAAGTTTCTCCACTGTGAAAATGTCAAACATAATTAGGGCTCGATCTAGAGGATTTTCTAATATTCCCTGAAATGGCGGATTAGGCGACGTTGTAGGTTGAAAATCCCGTTTGTGGCCTCGATTATAGTCCAGACAATCGCTTTGATATACACCACGAGGGCATTGAATTTTGGGTCTAAGTGTTGAAATATAGCTATATTGGGATCTTACTCCTGAGTGGCTTTGGTCAGCTCGACCTTCATATGGCTAGATCATCCTCAAACAAAGTTTGTTGGTATTTAATTTCTTAAATAGACTCCTCGTTCTCCCCTATGCTCAATTTATTAGTGAGCACGTTAATCATACCCACTGGTGGTGATTGCGTAACTCGGGTCCCTCTACCAGGTGATAACCTTGTTGTCAAGATCTGATGTGTTTGGTTAGGGATTAGATCATCGTTACTAATGCACCACCAATAAGGCAGTCATTATTTTGAGATTCGGCCTTTTGTTGGCCAAAGCCGATACCACTAGTTGTTTCTATTTTATCCTTTGAGATTCTTCTGCAACGTATAAAAACTGCCTTCAGGCATGATTCTCAGGAGTCTCCTAGATATTACCCCATAAATAGAGTGCACAAATTTT